CCCACAGTGCGTTTTCATAGCGAACGTGTAGAAAGTGAGGAGCAGTCGATGCTTGGCCACTGTGAATGGATAACACACGCGTTTGGTGGGTTGTGCCACATCCCCTCCTCTCGATTGGGAGGGTGCGCAAAGTGCTTGACTTGTCACTCATCATCTTCGGCGCGACACTTGACACCCTCATCATTCATTACGCGTCAAATGTCACTTGTCACAACTGTTCTCCCCACTGCACAACGCATCAAGTTGAGCAGACAACGTCAGGTCACATTCGTTGGATTCACTTGCGCTTTGATGATGCAGGGTTTAAAATTAATAGGGAAAGGACAGGAAGGATTTGGTAACCACGCAAGGGAAAAAATAATTAAATATGTTTTTAAAACAAGTAGTAGGCATAATCTTGATAGTTGGAGGTATCTAGACGGAATGTGATAAGATGAGACGGATATTCTTATTAAAGGAGGCAATTCTACTTTAGTAAAATCAGGAGCTTACAGCGAGTGGTCAAGAATACTTCCAATGCAACATGGCGTAACAGATGCCTTCGGGTGAAGACAGCACGAATTTCATTGAACATCCACTTCGAGTAGAGGTTTTTAGTATAGGCGAGAACCTAAAGACACAACGGAACAATTCTTCTTTTAGCGACCCCATCACCACGTGTTTGTGTGGTAATTAAGTAATTACGACTATAAAGTAGGTAGGAGTGTAGAATAGCCTAAAATTCTTTTGTTTAAAACAGCTCCCAAACGTGTTTAAACAAAAGATTCAATAAAAGTGCTAGGAGGAATTACTGAGGCGGTATTTGGCCAATGTCTCGGTTGCACAGAAATTTGATGACAGATGCGGGTAAGTTGGGGCTGACTTCCATACAGCAACGACTACATCTTGATGGAGGTTGACCAAGAGTACATTATGTATGACTTCCAAAAGAAGAAGGGCCATGTAATACCCTGCTTAAGTCTTGCTTTCGATAAATGGCCACCGTTTTACTTCCTCCGGGCCAAATGACCTCCGAGCCGTGTCGGTGGCTAACTCAGCCTTCTGTAATTTTAGTAATGCACCATCTAGTCCATTGTTATGACGCCTTCCGCCTTTAGGATAGGCTTAGGGCACTACAGACGAATTAATTATGCCGCTTTATTATGAGAGTATTTGAGCACTTCTCCACGAAAAATTTCGACAGCTAAGTGCACTTACACAGAGAACAATGGATATGAGCACGGCATGGCAAAAATTTTTCAGCAAAATGCTTGATCAAGGTTTTAAATCTTCTTCCACACCGTCGCAATGGCCAACGTTCAGCTTAAGTTAAAAATGATAATGACGCCTGAAAATGGGACTTGTTGCCATCCGCTATAATTTAATGACTATGATAGTTTTGTAGGGTTTGCAGGATTGGCTTACTTGTAGGGACCGATTATAAGATGATAACCTCAAACGCTTGATCACATTACAATCAAATTGAAGAGCACAGGTTTATGTGGCACATCAGCTCCTAGCAATAAGCTCATTAGGGACAATACGCAACACGCTGAAAGAACTTATTTCTGCTAACTGAAACCATCAGGAGCAACAGAGAGGAACTGACCTGGGGGTCGATCTTTTGGTTCATCTCATGACCAGGATCGGTCTCAAAGGCAAAGTAGGTACTGGTAATGGAGAGGATACCGTACACTGCTACTCCCGCGGCAATAAGTTGGCATGGCGTAGAGACGACTGCAGGATCTACAAGTCATGTAGAGCCACCCAGATCACATACAATGATTGGGTCATACCCTAACTTAGTCATCTACCTAAAATGTGCACCAACAGAAACATGGTTCATGTTCCTTCATGCTTTTCTCGTTAATTTAGATGGACAAGCAATAAAGCATGAGCAAATTTGTCTTCACGTTCACTGCAAATGCACCAGGACACATCAGACTAAAAATAGCATTTGCTGTGATTTGAGGACCCAGACTGGGCAATAGGCGAGAAGAACAGGAGAAAGAAAACACGTACCACTAGCAGACGGTTCCAACTGACCGAAAGTAAATGTGTCTTGATGCGTGGACACGAGACCGGGTGCCAAACCGGGTTCGGTCAGCGTAAATGGTGAGTAGGCTGTGGAAGGAGTGGGAGGTAGCTGCAGAGAGTCCACACTACCTCTCTTTGTGTACCCCTCTCCCAATGACGTTTCTTCTTGTTGCTGCTTTGATTGGGGAAGGAGGTTCAACGCAGTAGAATCTATAGCAAGAGTTGGTGGTGGCGCTGGCGCGGGAGCTGGTGAGGAGTGCAGAGCCGCCTCAGAGTGGTTTGAACCGAAGGGATTGATGACTAGACGACGACGACGTCGACTGTCATCTTCCCAGGTGTCCAAGCGGTAGAAGATACGTATCGGTGAGCTGGCAGAAGTATACAAGCAGCATGTAAATGTGAATTAAGAAGGGACTATTCCAATTTAGAAAGAAAAGGGTTTTTAAATAAAATTTACGCAAATAAAACATTGCGAGAACAAAAAAAGTGCACCCGAAGATATGCTAGGTGTCTTCACTGCAACTTTGTATCACCGATTTTGACACTCCCATGAAAGCTACGATCGAATGCAAACAAAAATTCACCAATGGATATTTTAAGAGATAACTCAAAAGGTCTGAGAGGAAGTGAAAGTACGAGACTGTGTTTTTGTGCTGCAGAAAAGCGAGGATGAAAGACCAAAAGACTAATTAGTCTAAGCTGTGGAAAAAAACCTTATGCCTCCAGAATGTTAAAATGGCTGTGTCTTCTAATTGTCATGCAAAAAAGACCAATTATGCAAATGCATGACTTGAACCAAATACCCGTGCAATGATCGGCCACACAGAGAATACCTTTAATAGTAAGTACAAACAATGCAATGCAATTCTTCCCCCGACCAATCAGAGCCAACATTTAACAGCAAGCTATCTATCAGAGGTGCTAATAATTGACTTGCTTCATTAAAGTGAATAGAACCAAAAATTTTAAAGTCTGGGAGTCTTGATCCACTCACCGCTTTGTCCGCTCAAGAAATAGCCGGATTTGTCGGAGAATAACCGAGGATGCAGCGGTGATATCACTTCGATTTGCTGATGGCAGCCAAGGGGGTGGGAGAGGAGCTTGTTGGAGACACTGTAGGAGATGCTGGGTGAGTGCAAGGCAGTGCGCAGCCACCAGACCGTCACGCACCACTCCCGCCTCCAACCGCCGTGTTTGATGTATGTCTAACTCGGTTACACGGCTTTGCTGGCGTCGCAGCGCCATCGCCCGAAATGCCGTCTGGCGACGCAACTCAAGGCTACGTAGACGTGCCAAAATGAAATCGGCCTCATGAGCCACGCTAATGAAGTGCTCGCGGGAGGCCTTTGCCAACAGGCGACACTCGTTGACCAGCTCGATGAAGGCTAGGCCGGCGTGTTTCTGCAGAGAGTTCTGCCATTCCTATCAGGCAAGGAAGCAAAGTATGAAAACTGTAGATACAGTCAATTACAGATGAAGTGATCAATGTCCGTGAACGATCTTGTCTTTATGCAAAAAAAACCTTACATACCAAATTACCACACCCACTATCGAGCTAGTTGGCATAAAGAATGCCGCCATTTCTTCAAATGCGTTAACTCGAGTCCCACCTGGGAACACAGAAGCATGACGATTTCCACCGCCAACGAAGAGTTTCGAAGAGCAGACAGACCACCAGTTAAGAGGAGGTCTTGGCCATGAGAACCAACAAGAGTTTTGGCTAGGAAAGTTTCAAAATCGAAGAAGATTTCCTTGAGCAGAGGCACCGATGAGCCCAGCGCTCGTTCCAACAGATCAGTGAGGTCTGCGGGAGTGGTGGTGGCGGTAGGAGGTGATGCAAGGAGGTGAGGTGGCGTCGTTGGTGATGCTGCAATCTCACTAGCCTCAGAGGCAGCCAGCTGCAAATCGGACCCACCACCGATGACGCTGCACACTGTTGGCTTGCCAGTGGCGAGAGAGACAGGAAGAGTAGACTTGGGCATATACTGATGCACTGTCGCCACTCTCTGTCTACCACCATTACTGCCAACATCACCGACTCTTTCACTTTCGCCTTCTTTTACGCACTCAATTGAGTCTGTTACATTGGCTGGAGTTGCTTCAATAAAATGACAGACGACAAGCATAAACAATCCATTTAGGCAATTAGGTAGTCCATTCTACGATCCCGATTTGGGAAAGGTAAATGCTTCGAATCGTGACAGAGAGCAGCGCGTAGACACGCAGCAGACAAACAAGGCGCCAACAACCGTTGAAAACGTCCATGAAACATGTTTATTTAAACCAAAAGAGTACTACAGATGAGGAGAACACGGATCTTTGGAAACTACTTATGCTAAATAAGGGGCATAGTAACTTGGCTGACCAAGCCTTGCGATCAAATGCCGAATAGAATGCGGCCTACTTGTTGTTTGCCTTAATTCAGAAGTTGATTTTTCGTATTTCCCAAAGAACTATACTTTAAACGAAAATCGCGCCCCCTTTAGAAAAAGTCACCAGGACGCCAAAATTTGGGCTAATGAGGGCAAGAAAAA